CCATCATAAATTAATCTCATTATTACCATAAAATATGATTTAAACTGGAAATCTCACATTAAAAATGTGATAAATTAACAAGTGATAAGTTAGGCAAACTATTTTACAAAAATCTGTGTTTGATCTTTTTGCAAACTTTTAAATATGTAAAAAAAACTATTCAAAAAACGTTTGTATAAAATATTAGTACAACCTCATCTTAAATATGGCGCAATAATATGGAATCCTTTTAGTGAAACTGAAATTAATAAAATCAAAAAACTTTAAGAAATGGAGAATCTAAAGAGCTTAACATATCAAGATAAGATAGATTATCTAAAAATTGAAACATTAGAAAGTGGAAGAAAAAGATTAGATTGTATTCAAGCCAATGCTTGCAACGCTTTCTACTTTTGACTAAATATCTTTATTAACATTTTAATTTATATTTTCTATTAAAAAAAATTAATTTAAATATGATTGCATATGAACATACAAATGTTTTTTTTTATTGTTCATAAAGGTTTGTAAATGCATTGGTCTATTTTGGTTTATCCTTGGCATCTTCAAATTTGGGTGGTGATCGTTATGTTAACTTTACCATGACGAGTTTAGTTGAATTTCCTGGTTCATTAATAGCAATATATTTCAGCAACAAGTGAGTTTTTATTTTTTTACAAACCTGACATTTACTTTAACAGCACTACTTTGTATTATCTTATCCAACACTGAAAATAACCATATCAGAATTGTTGCAACATTAGTTTACCTAAATTTATCAAAGAATTCAAACATAAATTACTGATACAATAATATTATTTTGGTGTATTAATTGTTTTTAAATTGTATTATAACAATCATGTGTTTATAATCATAATTTAAAATCATCAAAATTTTAAACTTTAATTTTTTTTTTTTAATTTTTAATTTTTCTTCAATTGTTTTTTAAATAATAATTTGAAATCTTAAGTTGTTTTAATAAAAATTGCTTTTAGTTTAAAGTTTTTATTCTTAAATTATTTAAACATATTTATTATTACAACCTCAATTACTATTGCTATTATTGTTGTTGTGGATTTTTTTTGTTATGTAGTAATATGTATATTAAATCACAGTTCAATGATGTCAACCTGATTATCGATCCTCCCCATTTGTATCTGGTTTGTTTTCTTAATACAATTATATCAAAACATCTTTGCATAATATTAAATATCAAAACATCTTAGCTTAATATTAAATATCGGATCATCTTTGCATAATATTAGATACTAAAATACCTTTAATGCTATAAAAATTAGCAGAGTGTTAATGTTAATATTTACATGCATAAACTGCATAATAAAATCAATACATGTTTAATAAAATAATAAAATTAACAGTTTAAAGTTTTGGTGAACTAAAATTAAAAAGATATAGACCAAAAGGTACTTGACATCATAGACTAGGGATTTGATTTCGAACAGAATTTAGTTTGACAGTACAAAGTAGATTTACAGCTGGAAATTAAATTAGTAGATTTAGAGCTGTATTACATTAAATGTTAGTAAAGCATTTTTTATCATTATAAAGTAGGTTTTTTATATTAATAACATTTTGGCAAATAGAAGCTTTGAAGTCCAGAAAAAATAGATCTAAAATATGTAACTACTTAAATATATTCAAAACGCTTCATTCCTGTAACTTTAGTTGGTTAAAATGTTTTACTTGTCTAAGTGGTAGTATTTTTTTCATTTAGAGCTTTATTAGCTTAATTTAAATAAAACATAAAGTTTTCAAATACTGAAAGGTAAAATTTTCAAACATTTTATAAAATAGCTTGTATAAACTATATATTATATTACTTATATAAAGTTATATAAAATATAATATTGTATACAAAGATTTACAAAAAATAGTTTATGTTAGCTGACTGTCAAATTTTTTTTTTTCAAGTAAAAATTTTTAAATTAAGTTAATTGGCTTAAACATTCTTTGTTGAGTTTTTCTGTTACAAACTTTTTGATTTTGCTATACACAAAAGATAGGTTGCGTCATTGAATATATCTAGAGCAATTGCTCCTACCTCATTCAATATATCTAGAACAATTGTTCTTTCCTAAAATTTTATATAAAATATTAATCTAATAAAACTTTTATGCTGTTACAGTTAACAAATCAGCAGTAAAATAAGAGTACCAAAATCTGCATTGATTTTAAAATGTAAGTTATTAGACTCAAGATATAGTTTGTTGACTTAAAACTAGTTTAAATCAAAATCCTTGCTACCAATAGAGAGAAGCCTGATTGGAAAACAGTATGATAGCAAGAGTAACTGACTTTATTAGTTTAAAAGTTTAGAATAATGGAGTCTTAAAAAATGCAAACTTAAGATAGCATCTCAGCAATTGCAAGGAAAATTCCAACATATGCAAGGTCCAGCTTGAACCACTCATTTTATAATTTAGTGATTATTAAAAAGAGTTTTGGTTAATTCTTTTTCAAGACTGTGACAAAATGTTGTCTGGACCAAAACAATTTAAGCAGTACGATCAAAGAAATGTTTCATGCAAACAATTATTATTAGAGGAGGTTATAATATTAGACCAAAATAAAGTAGAACTTATCTTATGGAAAGACTTTTTTGTGTTGATGACAGCATTACTCTACAGCCTAATTTCTGAGATAAAATATGAGATTTAATAATCTGAGAAAAGTAAAATTTTTATAAGTAAATAAAAAAATAAATAATTATGGATACGATTTTAGAAACTTTTTGAAATTAGCTTCAAATTTATTTAATAAATGTCAAACTGTTTACTAATTTAAAAATGCTATTTACTATTTACTATTTACAAAACTATTTACTAATTTATAACATGATTTTATACCTTCTCACATAAACTTTTAAACATATAAAAACAGAGCTTTTTTGTTCTTATGTTTTATTAAATTTGTTTTACTAACTATATGATAATTGGTTCAAAATATGACAAAATGCTAGTAAGCATTAAACTAATAAAAAATCCTTGTATTGTGCAAAAAATTAAGTTCATTCTTTAGGGATTTGTTCAAATTGCAAAATTGTCCCAAGATTCACATATCAAAGTTACTTATACTTGACTTTTGTAAAGATATGTTTACATAACATGCCTTATAAGCTTTATATTGCAAAAATTTTCTTTTACCTTTCTAAAGCTCTAAGCCCAAAGTAAAATACTATCTGTAATAAGTATCAGCATTTTATAGAGAGCTACTACGCTTTGAAACACCTTTCATAATGATACCAAAAAATGATGCAAGCAATTCTTAAATTATTTCTTCATTTCTTTTTAATATTTATACTACATTTGTGTATATATATATATATATATATATATATATATATATATATATATATATATATATATATATATATATATATATATTGAGTTCTGAAAAGTTGTTAGGAACTTTATAGGATTTTACAATTTTAGATTGCATTTAAAAAGTCTTAAGGAGTCTCATACATAGAGGCTTTTTTATACTATGACCTAGAATATTAAAAAAATAACAGTAGTCTAATGAATTATACAGCTAAATACCTAGTGGCTCCGTTTTTATCACTAAAATCTGCTTTTAGAAGGATTTCAACTTCTATTTTTTTCGTTTTACATCATTCTAAACCTCTTCGTTTAGAAACACAACATGTATTATAATATATTGTATATATATATATATATATATATATATATATATATATATATATATATATATATATATATATATATATATATATATATATATATATATATATATATATATATATATATATATATATATTTATTTATATATATATATATATATATATATATATATATATATATATATATATATATATATATATATATATATATATATATATATATATATATATATATATATATATATATATATATATATATATATATATATATATATATATGCAGTGGCGTAGGAAGGTCTCGAAAGTAGGTGGGAAGAGGGGCTGGAAACATATATTAAAAAGGAAAAAGTTCCTCAATTTTGTACGATGTAGCAAAGTAGATAAAGATGATCTATTTATTCAATTATTTAATACACGCAACGTTATTAATCATCTTTTTAACGTGTTTAGTCATCTTTTGACAGCACACATTCATTTAATTAGTATGCAATAGTATCTTAAATAATTAGTATGCAATAGTATCTTAAACAGTTTTATCGATATACTTTTCCATGGTGATGTTTTATTTTGAATTTGAATCATTGTAGACTGTAAAATGATAGTTCTGATAAAAAATTTTTTACTACTGTTTAGGAAACAAGGGGGGAAGGGTTGCAACAGCTTGCAACACGTTTTTAAAGAACAGGTCATTTTTTAAATTATATGCTGAATTTGATAATGAAGCGCAAAAAAGAAGAAAAGGATGTAGCTTTAGAATAAATTGAACAATATTGAACAATATTGGACGTTGTTGGACAAGAACAATTAATTTTTTGAGAAGGGATGACTAGGCTTGCGCTCAAAAATCTAGATGTGCTTTACTGAACAGTTTTTCCATAGCTGAAAAGCTCAGACATTAAAATATCTTCTTGAGACAACCAAGCGTTTAATTCCAAACCTGACTATCATGTCAGTCATGGTTTTATTAATTATTTTTTTTGTCAACCAATTTACATCACTTTTCACTTCTCAAAGTTAAAATTTACAAAACAGCTGTGCAACCAATTTACAACGCTGTCAATATCCGCTCGCAGTTTTTTGTAATCAGAGTAAAATTAATTGACATTAATAAATCATGCAATCGTTGGCGTATAACTTAATGACAACTTTAGTAGTGGACTTTACTTGTTACCCTTTTGCATCATTGCTATTGGTGTTCTTCATCAATGACTTAATAGAATACAAATATAATTGTATTCTATTAAGTCATTGATGAAGAACACCAATAGCAATGATGCAAAAGGGTAACAAGTAATGTCCACCAATTCTTTAAGGAACGCTACTTGCCAGGATTTTTATTAGCTAGCCAACCTGTGATTCAGTTGATGAGCTAGCCTAAAATACCATAGGCATGAATCTTATGAAGAATTCGTTGTGTGATAATGTGTTGAATGCTTTAGCAGAATTTGGCAAAAAGTTTTTTAACTAGGTATCCATGGTAAACTGCTTTCATTAAAATGTTTTGGAATTCAATCAGGTTTGTAAGGCAGCCTTTGTTGTGTACAAATCGTTTGATATTAGATGTACACTTGTATTTTATAATCCTATCTATAATAACTTTCTGGTTGTAAGTCTTGACTTTGTTTCCATATTTGAGGGTAGTTAAACCTCAACAAATAAAACTAATTTAGCTGTTTTTTTATTTCACTATTTAAAATCGGGATTTAATTTACTTTCAGAATAATTATAAATGTATTTATTAGTTTTTTTTTTTTTTTCTGAATTGAATAATGTATTAAATTCAAACCTGACAAAATTTGTCTTTGAAAATAAAATGTTTTGTTTGGTTAATACTAATATCCAAATCTAGTGTCTACTTTAATGTTGTTGATATAAAAACAATTTAAATTTTTATTTGTTTAAAATTGACACACCAAAATTAAAAAGTATTTTAAACTATAGTTCTTTGTAATATAGATAAAGCAAAATTAATTTTTAAGCACATTACCAAGTAAATTTATGTTTTATCTCGTTAGTAAAAACGATTTTTTTACTTTTTTGTAATTAAAATGTCATTATAATTTATTTATTTTTATCTTTCTTCTTTTGGCGCCTCTACCATCTTGACACCCAGTTCATGTATGTTCCTCCCTTCGGCTTCTCTTCCTAGAATTACAGCAAAGTCTTGACAGCAATGATCTCAGCAATAAGGTTAATCAATATGTTCATGAATATTAATTTGCTTTTTTTTACATATTTCGGCACTGTCTTAATATATTTTGCTAACTTCAAATTTTAAAATACAGACCTAAATCCATGCATTTTTTGTCTAGATTTAGATCGTGTTTTTATGTGCTTATTATTTGGTAATCCTTCAGTTTAAAAGTGTAAAATGTTTTTTTTTTCTTTTTGCACTTGTCGCGATTACATTTGAACATTGTTTTATTCATCTCTAATAAGTATGTCTGGTGTGGCATTTTTCCACAGATAAAAAAATGTTTATTTGAGTATCAGAGTGAAAGTTAATGGTTAATTTTCAAATTGGATCAACCTGATACTTTTCTTAACCCTATTTCCCAAAAGAAATTTCAAATGAAATTTTTTACTAATTGGTGGTGCTAAAAATGATGAAATTAAAATGAAGCTTAAACTTTTTTTACCTGGTCTTGAACTTGGTATGGATGTTGTAAATTCTACTAGTAAAATTAATACAGTCTGTGAAAATAATAAAGAAGATTCATTAACACAACAACAGATAATAGCTGTTTCCCAATAGACATTTTTGTCATGTCAGTTAATTGAACATGATAAATATCAAATATTGATATGCAATTGGTTTCTTGGTCCAAATTACAAATATCGTTATTTTGTGCATTCAAAGAACTGTAATGTTAATTATTTTTTGTCCATGTAAAATATACTTTTCAATTGATAACTATTTCAGAATGCCTTTATAAGCTTATTTGTAAAAATTGTTAAATAAAAGACGATTAAATTCAGAAAAATATTTATTTTTTTCTGTTTAACTGAACAATTACCGATGGTTTAATATTATGCTTCCATTATTATTATTATTTTTGAATAGCTTGTTTTTGTTTTTAAAAACTTTCAAACTGAGTATGCTACTTTTAACTGTGTAATGTATATATGGTTGTTAAAAACTAACTTTTTTAATGCTATTTTAATGGTAATCAAAAAACATTAGTATATTTTGTTTTTTTTAACAAAATATTAAGAGATTAATTATTAAGATTTTCATTTTAAGGCAAATACTTAGTTTTAAATTAACAGATTAAATTTTATATTTATCATTAAGTGTAAACAATGTGCTACATTAACTAAGTTTTTGTCGGCAAGCCTAGTCATTCCTTGTCAAAACAAAAGTTCCTCTTGTCCAACAACGTGTAATATTGTTCAATATTGTTTAATTCATTCTAAATGACATCCTTTTTTTTTTTTTTTTTTTTGCGCTTCCTTATTAAATTTAGCGTATAATTTAAAAAATGACCTGTTCTTTGAAAACCGTGTTGCAAGCTGTTAGAAGTTTAGAAGAACATGATATAGTTAATGTACCTACAGTAAACTCTTTTAGAAGTATTTTTAAAATACTAAATCAGCTGCAGCAATCATCAAAAGAATAAAGGGTTATAGTTTCTAGATAGTTTAGATCTAAGTTTAAAATAAAAAGTAGTTAAAAGGTCAATTATCATTACAGTTTTAATCAAAATTAAGACTTTTTATTTAAATAAGATTTAATTGGTGATTTTTTTTTAATTTTTATGAAAAAAAATTTAGAATAGGAAGAAAACCAACAGTTGTAATTTCAATGATTGTTTCTGGTATGTCTTGCATTGGTGTATCAGTAATACCTCAAAGCTCAGGTAATTTTATGACTTATTTTAGTATTACAAGACAGTTTTGTTTTCTTATTTATTCAAAATGCTGCGAAAAAAGCAAAATAAAAAGTTAAGTGCTATACTTGCAGAGATATGGTGAATATCAAACTAGGAGTTTTTTGCTCTTTGAAACAAGCGTTTTTCTTTTTTAATTTATTTTTATTAATTGTTATTATTATTTATCTTTTATGCATAATATCGAAATTATTTGTTTTGTTAACTATAAGAATTTTCTTCAGGGAAATTAGAAAGAGACTAGGGCTCTTTCTAATTTTCTAATTTCTAATTTTCCAAGGCCCCAGCCTTGGCTATAAATGAGACTTTTTGCAAACCTGGCCCCCGGCAAAATTATAAAATTAAACAAGGGTTGATAGCTTAGGCTTGAAAAATATTTATAATATCTAATATATTATAATTTTATGCTATAAATTTACTATTTATTAAATACAATACATTAAATATATTTATGTATTTTTAAATTCTATTTTACTTGCGACAAGATTGCATGCAACCACTATTAAGTTAGGTTTTTTTGATGTTCAATGAAAAATACTATAATAATAAAAATTTTTAGCATTAAGGAACAGATGCAGTAAAAGGATGCAACTTGTTGAATAAAAAGCCTAGCAAGATTAAGTTTTTGGTTTATCGCAATATAGATGATAGCTTGATTGAGAATTGACCATAATTGTATTTGTAGAAAAAAGAAAAAAATTCAACCTTATTACAATGGGAAAATGGCTCAAGCTTGGCAGATAAAGCACGTCTAATTACATTTACAATGTGTTTTTGAGTCTGAGACAAAGTGGGTTGTTATTATTCAGTATAGGAATGCCAACAACATTTTTTTGTAATAACAAAATAAGTTTTGTTGTCTAAAAAGTATTGTGGATTTTAAGTCCAGAATTAAAATGACTAAAAACAGTGTAAAGACTATTCGTAGGATAGTTAAAGAGGTCAAAGTGTTTTCTAGAGTTTTGAAAAACTGGAATCACTTATTTAGCACTTTTTATAAAAAGTAAAAAGATCAGACCTACAAATAAGAGAATAAATGTTAGACTTATTTTAGTTAATAAATGACATTTTTGAAGACTAACCAAAAGTCTTTAGAACCTAACATCTCATACAGAATGCAAGGTTTAGTAAAATGAGAATATCAGAGCTTAACATCAAACAGGACTTTTTTACATTGGCTTTTTGCAATAATAAAAGGACATTTTTTCTTAAGAGAGATGTTCTTGTAAAAAAGATGAAAAAAAAATGATTAATGTTTGTTGAAGCAACTGCTCAAGATGGTAAAAAATGTGGAGTAGAATGAGGCTTGACTTAAAATTAAAGAAAAGTAATTCAAGCTTTCAAACTTATATTCCAGAAAAAATCAAAGCTTCCAAGATGGACATTATGCATCATATTATGGATATATGCATATATGTGTGCTATTTATTTAGATGCTAGCATACAATATATTTTCATTGTTATATAAACTTTAGTATTTATATGGTGTGTTGTTGACCAAAAAAGAAGATGATCAGATCGATGCGTTGTGTGACTCTAACAAGACAAGAAAAGGAGTCATATTCTTAGACGGATTTGAAAAAATATTGTATCAAACAATATTAGTTTGATAAGATTCAAGTGGTTTAGGCATTATTATGTAGTGAGGTAGCATCTTCAGAAGAAATGTTAGTGGTAAAAGTAAGAAAACATGAATAGAGTACCTTACATATTGCATGAAAGAGCTTTAGTTAAGAAAAAAAAAATTTATAATAAAGAAACTGCTTAAAAGAGGGAGACTCATGTCTAATGATGATAATTATGATGATGATAATAATGATGATCATCATCATCATGATCATTATCACCAGGCTTTAGCCTTTTTCTTTTATGCTGCTGATGATGATGATCATGGTAATGATGATGATAATGATGATAATAATAATGATATTTTTAGCAGCCCTGGTCACAAATCCGGCCCCGGCTATATTCTTTCCCTGGCTATATTCTAACCCTGCCACGGCTCCGGTTATTTACTAAAGGCAATAAGATTATTCAAACAAATGATTTTTATATTTTGAGATACTATTTTATTATATAAGTGGAGGTCATGGTATACAATTAAAAATACAACTTCTTTGTTGACAAGCCTTGCTTTCTACTCTATCTAATAGATTGGCATAGATTTAAACCAGTGTTACATCGTTTTCTGCTTGGTATGGTAAATATCTTCTTGAGGCTTCTCATTGGTACTTTCTTTACGACCTCCTAGGTAGTAGCTATGCATCATTTTTTATTTTTTATTGAGGGCATAGCTCAAAAACTTAATTTAACTCTGTAGTACCACTTCAACATACTATTTTTATTAAGAGCTTAAAAGTATCAAAGTAAAACAGTTCAATGTTACCCATGAAGGGTGTTCTTGTAAGTGCATTGTTAAGATTGTATAATGAGCCCTTTATACAATTTTGAACTATATATTTAATAAGGACTCATAAAATGGGATTAAGTGAAACTTACTTACAATTTATAAAAAAGATTGTAGTTGTTACAAATCTAACTCATAAAAAAATTATTATCAAATTGTTTTAATTAATCTTTATATTTATTTGAATTATCATTAAAAATAATATTTTTAATACATTATTCTTCAAAGTGCCTTTTTATCGATATAATCCTACATCTAGCAAAATTCACTGAAATTAGTGTTGGTTGCTATTATCCTTACAACTTTAAATTTTTTATAATTTTTTGCTTTTAAGTTATTATCCTTTCAACTTCAGGCTCCAATAAGTTGTTTATCACAAAGCCAAGCATGTAACATGCATATGACAAGCATGCTTGGCTTTAAGTTGAACAACTTCCTCTCTAACAATCAAGTCATAAAAAAACATAAAAATTACCCTGTAAAATTGTATTTCTTATAAGGAAATATTTATCTTAAAACAAGTAGTATATTTCTTGTTTTAAAAATTAAATTTTTACACCCAGAAGTTTAATTCTCAAAACAGGAAATTTATTTTTATGTTTAAAAAATAAATTTCATAACTATGGACAATTGATTTAAGATTTCGCTATGAATCTTAAAACAAGAAATAATGAAATATATACTTATTTATATGTTAAGACATCATTAAAAAGATTAAAATATAGTTAAATTAACACTTCTATTATTAAAAGCTTTGAAAACTCACTTGAAAAAGAGTTATTTCTAGTTGATGATTTTGTAGAAAATAGTTATAAAAACGAAGCATGGAAAGCATTATAAAAACCACTAAAAAAACATTACATAATAAAAAAAGAAAATATTGAAACTCAGCATTCATAAATTGCATAAAACAATATTGTAACTTTATCGTGGATTCCAGGAATTAGCCTGAAGTTAAATAAAGTTTTCAAAAAAGCTGCTCATATACCATTCTTTAAATCATTAAAAAATTTACAACATATACTTACCACAAAATATAAACCTCCTCTTCCTATAAATTTTTACTTAAGTGTGTACAAACTTAAATGCTACTGCAAAAAATGTTATAACGGTAAAACAAAATTAAAAATCTCATTTCGCATTTACCGACATAAAAAAAATACATACAAAGGAAAATGGGAGCATTCAGCAATAGCGGAACATTCAAAAAATTGTCATGATATTTTTACATGGAGCAGTAAAAATACTTTAAAAATAGAAGTGAGAGAAGCCCTTAAAATACAACACCATGAATGCTCACCTTTGGACGGCAGTCTAAATCAGGATGGAAATCTACTTTTCAGTATTTAAATAAAAAGAAACTATTGCATTGATTTGTTGTTTTTTAAATTAATTTCAAATAAAGAGTTACATCCATGATAGAAGTTTTAATTTAATTAAAGAAATATATTTATTTTTTTATAAAACAGTTTTCAACATCTCTATTCCTTGAAATAAAAAAATGCAGTCCCTGTTTTTATCACTATTAGACGCTTCATTAGATTTTTTTAGACATTAATTTGAAACTATCAGGTCATACTATATGGCTAAATTGTTTTTACTAGTTGATGTTTTTTTTTGTATTTTTTATATTACTTTTATTTTTTAATACAAATTATACATAGATTAAAAAAATAGCTGTTTATTAACTGTTGGAAAAATTAATGCAATCAAATGTTATTATTCCGGACTAATATCTGGAATCATATCTGGACTATTACCTTGCCAATCCAACAGAGAGATATTTGGTTCTTCCAAAAATTCTTTAGCAGACCGTGCTGTGCAGCAGGAGGTTCTATCTTGCATAAAAAACAAAGAACAACCAAAATATCATTTTATAAAAAATGGTATTCAATATATTATTTGTGATGAAATAATAACAATTTATCGATCTCCAGAAGCTCTCATCTGTATTATATCACTGTTTGGCCCACTTCAGATGCTACGCTTCCATTGGTAGTTGAAGTTTTAAGCTTAAAATCTATTTAATAAAATCCTATAATTTTCACTTCACAGGCGCATTCACAATATTATCATGGAGAAGCAATTTTTTCAGTTTTGTAGTAGCTAGTGTGTTTTCCAGAAAAGTTTTCTTTAAAAATCTTTTTTTTTTTAAAGTAAAAAAAGGCTATCTGCTGTATCTTTTCTATTGGGTTTAATTCGTCTCCTAACACAATTTATTTCTTTATTCTTTGTACACTAGCTTCAGAAACTTTCAATATTTGTATCATTTTGCAATTTAAAAATGTTTTAGTATTATTTAGGGCCTTTACTTCAGCTTTTTTACATGATGAAAAATCACCTTTTTTAACTGTAGTAAAAATGATTCTTTTGATTATTAAAACACTGAACAGAAAACAAATTGCATAATACAATACTGCTAATCAAACAAACACATCGCAAAAAGCTATAGTAACGCCTCTGCACCTGATGTACTAAAAAACACAACTAAAACCAGTTAGCACTTGTTTGCATTTGTGAATTAATTTGTTAATATAGTATATATATATATATATATATATAT